CCCGCGTTAATTGGTCGCGCTACCTGTCACAGTTGGCCCAGGCCTGCCCGCGTTAATTGGTCGCGCTACCTGACCCAGGGTTAGGGTCAGCAAAGTTACGTCACATATTCTGCATACTAATTACTTTCGGAGCAGCGTGACGTCACTGGCGGCATCCCTTTGGTCTCCAGATGGGGGTCTATTACTACTAACCCAGTTCTGCAAGACTTTCAACCAAAATTTGGTGCTTTTGTTCGTATTTTTATTTAGTTCTTTTGTTAAAGCAAAACTTTGGTGCTTTTGTTCGTATTTTCATCTAGTTCCTCTGCGGCAATTTCATTTCACAATTGTATTTAAAATACCTTTCCGCCATTTTGTTTGTTTTGGGAAAATCATTAATTGTACTGCAGAACAATTAATGAAATAATTGTACTCCTCTCAACCAATCAGAATCCAGTCATTTTGTCATGGTAATAATAAATTACATTAACAGTGTTAAAATTTTACAATCCAGATTTTCTGGCACAAATAATGCAGTTTTGCAAACATTTACTTCAACTGCATTTCTTCTTGTTAAGAGAAGTTATTTCAGTACTCAATTCTATTATTGGCAACTCTATGATATCGAAATGTTTTAAGGACGATGTCATTACCAGTCCCTAGTTAGTTCTTTTATGGTTTGTTAACGGCCACATAAAAATATTAACTTTTATCTATTGAAAGTCTTCAACAAATCTCATAATTCACTAAAATATTGGGTTCAGTTTAACTACACTTGTTACAACAGGTGGACTGTAGGCCGGCCAATGATCTTACAGTATATATCCATGGCAGTGTGATCAGGGCGCACATCTAATACATTTTAAGGGGGGTTTGGACGGATCCGGGGCCGACTTTTGATTCGAGAAAGATCCGGGATCGATCATAATGAAGAATGATACAGTGTACTTCGCTGGCTGGCTACAATGAAACAATTTTTAAAATTATTTATTGGAGTCTGATATTTAAAGCATTTGAAATGACAATTAGACAGACAAAACAGACAATTTTGCGAGATATAACTTAGTTTATACGATTAACAATTAGGAAATCTTAGATCAAGCAGTTCCAAAGGCAATGTTCTATTTTAAGAGTTATTATAAATGCTATTATTACTATTACCACATACTTATTACAGTAGTTACCTGGTCGGTGGCTTTGAAGATCTGTACTGGCAGAACAATGATATCAAATCGATTGTTCATGTAGTTCTACACTACTTATACACTAATAATACGTCGAGTCTTGGAGAGTTTTACCCAGAGATCATCTATTACGTTCAGGTCAATTGAGTCAGTTAAATCTTTTTCTGACCCAAATGTCATGAAATCCTTAAGCCTGTCCTGATTCATCACTGAGCGCATAACTGTCTTGATCACTTTCAGCTTAGAGAAGCTTCGCTCACTCGACACCGATGTAATAGATGCAGTAAAAATCAGGCGATAGCATCTGTTTGTTAAAGGAAATATGTTAACTTTTCAAATTTCATAGCTAGACGTGCTGCTTCTGCGATTGTTTCAGTGTCCAGCTTGTTCTCTCGAAAATGATTTCTAAACAACGTCAGTTCAACTTCAGCGCATAAAACGTCGTTGTCAGGTTGTAGTGAACGTGGAAGCATCTTCACGAGAGAGTCGATGTCTCCTTCTTTGGGATCATTGTCGAATGGAGGAAGAAGAAGGTTAATTGCCGGGGCAAGAATATCACATGTGTTCAACGTTGTCGGTAAGGGCTTGTGTTTGTACGTCGAGGACTTGGATGAATTCTTTTCTGTAGAAATCCTCGAGGGTACGATTTGTTTGCGGTTTCTGGTTTTTCGTCCACTCGCATCGACTCTATGACTATGACGTTCAGAAAATTTCACAGCAGCAGTAATCAGGTTGTTTACGTTTTGTTCATCATCACGTAAGTCGCGCAGAGTAGAAATGGTTGCTTAAGCAGATTCTAGAGTTTTTTAAGTTTAGATATAGGTAATGAGAACCATATTGCCGTTCTCTAGTAATAATTTTATGTCACAATAGTCCCTAAATGTTACTCAAAAATTGAAAAGGTGTGGTGTGAAATATGATAATGTGATGACCTCGTGTTGTTCACAATGTATGCCTGTGAAAATTATGTCAATTATGTTGTATTTGATGGAACTGAGGAAAAAGATAAAAAAAACGACTTGTATTTGTATAAATGTGAATATACGTGTAGGTGTAGATTTGTGAAACATAAAATTGGAGATGCATGTGTGAAATTGTAACGGTAAAATATATCCTGTGGTTTAAGAAAATTGATCAGACCCAAACGGGTATGATCGCGCATTACTAAAAAGCTTGTATGGAGGCATTTAAAATATATAAAGCCAGAGAAGGAGATAGTCATGTGTGTAAAATTCAGTTTCTTTTCAAAAATAGTAACGACAGGCACCAACCTGGTCTCCAGCCTCCGTATGAAGTTGCTACTTGCTAATGCGGAATAACGCATTTTATGTAATGTAACATGATACATTAAAAGCTGCTAAGGCCGAATTTTATGAAATCCAACACACATGACATACAGGAAATGTATTTGTATTTCCTTTCTGCCATGCATGAACCGCTGAATGCGTGTCCCTTGTTCATAACATCTTACCAACCAGCTGTTGTGTTGTCGGTCCAAATTCACTGACAGAAGTAAATATTACTTCTTGTACCCGAATTTTGGGACCGAGTTTTCGCACAGTATCAAGGAAGAACGGGACCGACTTTTGGTGACATTCGGACGCTAAGGGGGGGGGGGGGGGGG